TTGAATTTGCTAGATGGCATTGGTTATGTTAACTTAGAAAGCATCAATAGTTTTTGGTTGATTTGCAAAGAGCTGTGATTTAAGATAGCCCAGAAAAAAAGTCTAAAGGCGTTAAATCGCATAATCTTGGAAGCCAGTTTACGTCGCCATTATGTGATATCACTATGCCCTCAAATCGTTCACGCAGAATATCCATTGTTGTACATGTGAGAATGTGGCCGACATTTCAATGATATTATATTCCATAGATAATTGCCATATAATGTTCATTAAATAAAAATTGATTAGATATCTCACACACAACTTGTTTTTTTCACATTGAAACATTGAGTGTCCTTATTGAAATACTCTATACTTGCATTATTTAATTTTTCAAATAGATACTATGCTATCATATTTAAATATTAATGTTGCTAATGATTTGAGAGACCAGAAACAATTTAATAAACTATTATTAAAAACTAACAAGAAATACATTTGTTGAAAATCTAACAATAATACATTGTTAGACAAAATGTATTGGCCTTAAATTATAAAATTTATAATTTGAATTTACAACCAAGGCTTCAAGTTTAAATAAATAATGATCAATAATAACAAATAAGTATTTTATATTAACGCACTTTTATGAATTAATTTTAAGTAAAAAAATAAGTCAACATTCTATTATCAAGTTTTGATTTGATCTACAAAGCATACATTTTGTTTATTATTTAACTTGAGCTTTTTTGGATGTGAAAATTGTTCTGTTTTTTTTTCTAAATTTTGGAGTCATCTGTGCCCTGATAATTTTTTATCTCATTTGTTATAAAACTCTTAATTTTCTTTTAGAGTAGATATATGTATTTGTAATACATTTTTTGTTTAAACCAAGGGGATTTTTCACTGAAAMCCAATTGAAATCAGTTGGTAAATTAGATATATTATATAATATGGCCATTTTATCTGGCTCACAGACAAGAAAAAAGTAATAATTAATAATATTATACCTTCAAGTGCAGTGGTGTATCTAAGATTTTTTCTAAAAGGTGATATTTTACACATTAGAAGCCAGGTAGACAGAAATCAATTAGGATATCTGTCACCTAAGCTTCTCTTCTTGCTATATTKCCTTTCAATAATGCACTCTTTTATAGGCTCTGATTTTACTTAAAACTATATCATTTTTTTAAAATAAATAAACAAAAGGCTTTGGAAGGTGWTTTATCACCCAGATCATCCACTGTTAATACGCTACTATTCTTGTGTGATAAATTTTAATTTATAATAAATGTTCATTAGCGTTTACAAATTTTAGCAATTTTAATGGCCTGCTGGTAATTTCAAGATTTATGATGTTGCCCTTCAAAAATATTAATTGGTGACYTATGGTTTAATATATTTAAATATTTAATTGATACCTTAAGTTTTATGACTATATAGTAAAATAAAATAAATAATACCCCTTAAATGTATAAAATGGAACTTAAGAATTCAATTGATAATAATTAGGTATATTTTTTTACTAGGACATACAAATTACATGAATTAATATTATAAATATTTTAAAAACTACTCTTAGAAATTAGTTTACAGTTCATGATCTAACATCTTTAATGCATTTTGATGTGAACATTTGTGTTCACAAAGGAAAATGTTTAAAAGGTATGATATTATATATTATAATTTCCTGTCTCAAATTATATTAATTTTCTCCTACATTTTTTATTTGCCTTTGTCGATTTTGCAATTATTTTCATGTTTATTTTATGTTTCGCTATAGTATTATATTATTATAGTATAAATGTMTTTATATACTAAGTATAATTTAGTTGAATGTGTAGATAATCCTGTAATTGTTGGTTGATCAATTTTATAAAAACTTAAATAATGAATCTAAAAATAAAGTACTTGGGTATTGTTTTCACTTTAATATAAACCATGCAGTGTTAAGTATGTTCAGTTCTATAGATATTAATATAGGTATTTATTTCTAACTTTCTAAGTCAATTTTTGTGAATAAGTTTTTACAATTATATACACAACATATAGTAACTATTTAAAATGATTAAATAACTTGAAATTAAAGCTCAAATTTTGGTCAGAAATGCATTACCAAATTAATTACAAATATTGTGATTATTTTGTTCTGACACATGTCAGAATGTTCTATAATATTTTGCATTGTTTCTGAGAATTGGTGARAAATTATGAATATATCTACAATATTTACATTTTTATTGATGATAATTTATAACAAATAATCTATTGCAAAAACAAAATATATTGTAAGTTTTTCTGGTGTAATTTAATAAAATCAAAATTAAATAATCTAGGAAAAACTTGTATACATTATTAAAAATTACAGGATCTAGAAACAAAGGAACCATTAGGAATGACTCGACAAGTAACAGTTCGTTTATCTCAAAAAGGTCCCAATAGCTATTTCTTTCGAAATAAAACAAATCGATGGCGTGCTGCCACTCGCAAAGTTTGTGTATGTTAATGTTATTCATCACACATTTTGAATGTGTTTGTATAAAAAGTGCACTGCTGAATTATTCACAAACTTTTATGTGCATACGATTTTATATTTCAGCTATATAATATTTTGTATTTCAAGCAATATTTTACTATGTGTATTTATATGTTATTTAATTATTGATTAGGTTTCACAATTATTTGAACAATGTCTTTATMTTAAAATAAAAGGTTATTATTATTTGCGCTGTAAATACTAAATATGTACATTATAATGTTTTTTTCTATACAATTAAAATGATATAGTGTGGTGGTTGTAGTATATTATTAGGAAAACATTAAACCTTTAAACCAAATAATTGTATAAAAAAGTTATGACAAGATCTACCAGGCATATTTTTAATAATTTATTCACATTCAATGGTATCTTTTATTGATTTGTTAAAAGCTTTTTTTGTGTATTGTTGCTTTATGATTGTTTTCATTTATTTAGAACTCCATAAAATTTATGATTTTGTTTTATAATATGCATCTGTTAAAAATAATATGATCATATTATTTATATTGCACTGATAAATTTATATTATAGATGCACGCTTCTACAGAACATTTCGTGGCCCAAACTCATCCAACGGAAAATACGCCTGTATGTACATAATAACATTGATTTATTGAATCATATATTACTATTACTATAACCTGAATAAAATTAACAGGATGTACAGCTAAAAGAGGTAAAAGAACATGTTATAGATTATGAGCAAATATTCGGTACCTAATCATTCAAGTAAGAGTTAACTAACCCGGGGATAATTTATGTTAATTAAAAAAATATGTATATAATAATTTTTATGCTTTATAAAATTCACATTCACATTTAGCATATTATATTTTGTGTTTATGTTTATGTTTATCAATCGTTTATAACGCACTTACATAAGTTAAAAAAATAATGTGATTATTATTATGGTTTGAATTTTTATGTTCTTAAACTAAAAAAAAAAGGTATGCAGCAAATATGCCAAAAAAAAAACCCAACAAGTATGTTCTTAAAGCAATTTAAAATCATAAAATATGTCAAATAAATATTTTTAATATATCATTAATGAAATATTTTATATTCTCATGTTCACATGATTTGTGACACCAACATAATATCTAATACTTACATATTACTAACAGTATATTTCTGTTAAAGATTCCATTTCTAAGGCTTTTTAAATTGGAATTTTCAAATTCTATCTTAATAGATAGTTGGTGTATTGTTTGTACACAAACATTATGCATTTGTTGGTTATAAATAACTACTCAAAGTTTTAATAATTTTCAACATATTAAGTATCTATATTATTTAAATGAATATTTTTGTTTTGTCATTATTGTTCAAATTTATGCAATCCATTACATTATTTCAGTGACCTCAATAACAATGACTAGGTGAACTTTAAATCTACAATATACCAAAGAAACTTTCCCTGTTTGTAATTATTACAAATAACAATTGCTATTTGTAATTATTTTTATTAATATTTTAATTTATGTTCAAATATTTAAAAAAATTTTTTTAATTTTCTTACCGTCTGCTCGAACATTTTTTTGAAAATTCCAATTTATTGGTTTATTTGAGAATCATTTTTAAT